CGTTGGATAATTCTCTTCATGAGGATTCAATAACCGAGACTCATACGCTATAACCTGACTATTTTGCATTAGAATGTATCTTAATCTTTTCTTCAAAGCATTAAAAAACACCCCATAAGGCTGATTATAATCGAGAATTATCAGAACAAGAGCAGTAGTTAACTTGTTCTTTAACATGGCAAAACTCCACTCGTACTCCGAATCTCAATGAAACAAAACTTCCTTTAAATGAGTTTGGTCATTGGAAATACCATTTAATAAAATCCTTTAATAAACCTCTAATAATATTTGGCTAGTCTTAAGAAGCTTTTAACCTCAGAGGCATTGTTAGGTTTCTCCAATTAATCATAGCTTCTACTTTTGAAATTTTACTATCACACCACCTTGAAATATGAGATAACCAAGGAACTTCACTTCGGTCATCTAGAACTCAAACTTGTTGAGTTTTGCAAAGAGTTGCTTTACTCACAAAATTGATAAACTAATCCTCAAATGCTTTATGTGCTCTTGTGGAGTATGAAAGTAATTCAGGATATCATCTATAAAGATTACCACAAACGGATCCGGATAAGATTGGAATATACAGTTCATGTAATTAATAATTACGAAAAAAGCATTAGTCACTTCGAATGGAATTACAAGGAATTCATAATGACCATACCGAGTCCTAAATACGGTCTTTGGTGTGTCAGGACTCTTCACTCGAATTTTATGGTATCCTGACCGTAAATCAAGTTTGAGAACACATAGGTTTCTTTCAACTGATCTATGTGATTGTCAGTTCGAGGAAAAAGGTATTTGTTCTTGGTAGTGACCTTGTTCAATTGACAATAGTCAATGCACAGACGCATCCCACCATTAACATTATTCATTAACAAGACCTAAACTCCCCACGGAGACACACTCAGGTGGATGAAATTCTTATCCAAAAAATATTCCAATTAACTCTTTAATTCCTTGAACTCGATCAATGACATGCAATACGGGGCAATGGAAACTGGAGCCATTTCCAGAACCAGATTAATGGAGAATTCCACTTCTCTTTCAAGAGGTAGAGAAGTGACATCCTTTGGGAAAACTTTTGAAAATTCACACACAACTGGAATTTGTGAGGTAGCCTTCTTTTCACTTGAATCTAAGGTGAGAATCAAGAGAAATTTTTTATCCTTCTCAAATAAACAATTGATCATATTAGTCGTACCTTCCAATAAAATGGTAAGTACATCTTCAGAAGTAACTTCTTTGGTGGGAATAAAAATAGTATTTTTCGGATAACCAATATACTCGAAATTGATAGAGAGTTAATCCATCCCTAGCACTACATCAATATTTTTTAACGGTAGACATATTAGATCAATTAGAAAAATACAACCATTCATGGATATTGGACAATTTTCACAAATCCACTGGGTCTCCATGCCATCATCTGTTGCAGTGGTGACTACCATCGGGGACGACAAGGGAATAGTTTCTAACCTAAGTCATTGCACACAATTGTTCAAAATAAAATAATGATATGCTTCACAATCAAATAGAACAAACAAGGGTTGATTATTCAAATAACACTTATCAGCTATCAGATTATTGTTTCTTTTGTCCTTTTTATGGTCCAAGGTGTACTTATGGCCTGCTACTTTTCTTGCAGCCTCTTGAGCCTTCATATTCGGGCAGTCCTTTGCCATGTGACTTATCTCATCACAATGACAACATTTCCACGACCCACTTCTACACACGCTATAATGGACTCTCTTGTAACTAACACATTTAGGGGATTTCGATGGCCTTCCACCTTAATTTTGATTTCCCTTAGATGGGAAACTCTTTGGTTTCAACTGGTACCTAAACCTCCCATGCTCTTTTGGGACTTACCTGACTTGCTCTTTCTCGGCTATTTTCTTAGGGATATTCTCCATCACATAACATTGCTGCAACAAATCGGTGTAAGTTTCAAACCGCTGTTGAGCAATGCTATGCTCGATTTCTACTTCATACAAAACATGAATTCATTTATCTTCCATTTTTCATATTGTGCATAAATTTCTTGGTTGGAATAGGCAGCCATATCTTCGAACGTTTTGGCATACTTCGCCACCGACATATTCCCTTGCTAGAGTTACTATAACTCAAACTCATTTTGAGCTCTCAAGCTATTGATAAAGTATTTATATAAGAATACAACCTTGAAGTGTTCCTAGTCTTTCGGTAAACATTGAGTCACCATATGATTAGTAACATTAACCCACCAGCGAGCTCCTGGACCCCTCAACATGTGACCAGCATAAGTCACATTATGCTCCTTACTACACGACACTGCTTAGAAAACTCTTTCCATTCTGGTCAATCAATCATGTGCTCGGAGAGGATCAATACTCCCTTTGAACTATAGGGGATTCATTTTGTAGAACTCCCATAAGCCTCCACCTCTCACATTTAGGGGAGTGAATTAAGGTTGCAAATGACCATGCATCTGTTGTATCATTTACATTATAAATTGAAGTTGTTGATGCATCTGCTGCATGAATTAGAGCCATTGGTTAGCTTCATTTCACACTTTTTATTGCGGTTCTAAATTATGGTTTAGAGGGGTTCTGGGCCTTCCACTTCCTTAGCATTGCTCATCCGTAACCCTATCTTTCAAATGTATAGAAGTCAAGTTGATCAGGCCTAACGCTGTACAATATGACAGTAAGAATTATGACGGTTACACCTATATGAGGCAAAAAAGGATTAACTAATGATGCCTCATGGTTGGTTCAGGGATTGACCTGCTCTAATACCAATTGTAACACCCCAACACAATACACTTCTAGAATTGTATTATATTGAAGCATTAAACTAGTATTGGGTACATGCACTATCTAAATGGCATCCACATATGTATAACATTGTCCCAAAGTACAAAACCTAGTGTATATACATATGGATGTCTGGTATAATGCCACCAAAGACAAACAACCACAGTAGAAACATAAGCCAAAACAATAAAGTTTTTAAGGTCTTCAAATGTCATTTCCTTTACTTTTGTCCTTCTTTAAGCTACCTTAAAATGAAAAACATGAGTGATGCAAGATACTATATTTCAGTGGAGTTTCCTTATCTTATGCGTCCACTGGACTCTAAAGGGTATCTCGTCCAAAATCCTATTCCACTAGTACTACACTTGCATACTAAGATATTGAAATAAAGGACTCGAAACTTAACCTTACTTCATACATCACACAAAAGATTCAAATAACAATTATGTGTGTCATCGCGCCACGATGTTGTTGCATCGCGCGCACGACAAATCCAGAGGAAAATGCTTTGTTTTCTTCAATATTTTCACAAAGTCTTTATTTTTTCCTTGTGACAGATTTTTGCTCATTTCTTCACACTTTAGCATTGCTTTTGCTCAACATTCTTCTGAATTCATCCCAATTTCATCATAAAAATCACGTATTGATGATTGTCATCACCTTGCAACTAGGAACTTCTTATCAACAAATTTCTAGAAACAAGGGAAAGAATATGGATAAAGTTAAAACCCTAAGGTTATCCATTTAAAACTCAGAGTCACAACAGAAAGAGGAACTCACATATCACGAACCATCATAACTACTCTCCACCTCCCAATAACCAGATTGGCCTTCCTACTAATGTTCAGACTATTAAACACATTCTGTTAAATCCAAATGTTAAAGGCCACTTAACCTTGACTTTCAAAAAGATAACCTTGTTATTAAAAAGGACTCTTGCGGATCCTTTAACAACAATGGGGTTAGAGCAAGCAACATCAGAAGTTGGACTCAAAGCATTAATGATAGCATACCTCAAAAGAACAAGTATAATATGAGACTTATCAGTCTTAAAGCTCTTATACAAAATAAAGACAACACTAACCTATCTAACAGGATCAGAAATCCAATAAGGACGAATAAAGATCATAAACACAAAGTAAACTACAAAAATATCAATGATAACATCAATGATAAAGACAATGATCCTAACAAAGATTATATCAACAACAATGACAATATGAAGAATAAGTACATTCCCAAAAGAAAAATCTCAAATTTTGACTACACAAGCCTCAAAATAATAACATGCAAGACAAAAAAGAGATAAGAAATGATAAATTACCAACAAACCAAAATCAAATCAATCAGAATTGTAACCACAAACCTGATGTTGAAGACGAAGATATTAAGAAATCCCTATCAAATGAGGATTGAATTTATTGTACCTCAGATGCAAGCTTAATTGTTGAAGCGATCTAGTGATTATAAGCCATTTTTCACAATTTGGATAGTGAGATAAAAAACAAGGTTGGCCAAAAAAAAAGTTGGTAACAACCCTGTTTTAGCAGAAGTGATGGCAATGCTTAAAGTCGTTAACAAAGTGATTGACTTAAGTTTCTAGTACATGCATTTTAAAACTAATAATATATCAGTTGTTAAAGCGATTAAAGACCAGGATCTTCCTAGAATCGATTGGGAAATGGTTTGTAAGAAAATTAGAAAAAGAGTGAATTGTTTCAAAAACGTTAGATTTTGTTACATTGGTAAAAATACAATAGTATAATGTATTGTCTTGCAAGAGATAATGCGTTTAAAAGTGAAGGTTAAGAGTGAAAATTATCGTACGGGTCAAAACAACTCTGTCTTGATTTGTAACAATTTTGACCTGGACCCAAAGTTCAAATGACAAGTGTTTTTTATTTTATTTTTTTATTTTAATTTTTAAAGTTATTAGCACCATATAACACATGCTAAACAGGTTTAAAGGTGCACAAAATAAATCAATATCCTAATTAAAAGGCACATTATAATGGAACATCACCCCACTTTATTCATTCTCCTTCCTTCCGCTTTCCACACTCAATTACACTCTCTTTCCGTATCCCTCCAATTGCGCTTGATTGCTTTTGATTCATTTTACAGCTATAAAACAATGATCAATTCCTAAATATTTTCATCTTTGTCGCTCTCTCTTCCAAATTCTACTTTACATTCTAATCAACCATGCCTATTCCATGGATCAACAAAACCAGGGTAACCCAATTTTCTCAAATCATCGCCGATCTTCACTCATCCAAACGTGGTGCTTCTTCTATCGTCGTTCAGACCGGTTTCCCCGCCTCCCTCGTCGATCTCTTAATCAAAAACCGTAGCCGCTTCACAAGACCTAGGTCCGACAAATCGTTTCATCGCCAAACTCCTGATCCACCTTCGCCGGAGTTAGACCGCCACGAGTCTCCGAGTTTGACTCAGTGGATCACCGACGGAAATCTTCATACAAATAATGGGGTTGAGGACTCGGGTCATGGGGTGAATCGGGTTGGGAATAACAATGACGGGTCGGGTTCAAAAACGTTACTTGTTACCTTTTTAATGATGTTAGTGATTGTCGTTTCGATCGCAAGCGTTGAGAAACTCACTGTCGGCATCACCGTTTCAGCATTTGCGCTTCTTTTTCTTGAAAACGCGTGGAATCGTGTCGTTGAGTGTTCTAAACCGAACGTGGAATTTAACGTTGTTGAAGCTAAATCGTGTGTTACTGATTCCTTCGAAGAAATTAAGGTTGTCGGCGTTTGTCCCGAAGAGACATCTTCCTATGATGATGTTCTTCAACTGAATTGTTCTGAAATTAAGGAGGATCATTTAAATGAAAAAGTTGTGGATTCATGTCATGTTCCAATTAAAGTTAGCCGTAGTGTTAAATTGAAAACAAAGTTAAAGAAGCTTTTGACAAAAAAATTGCAAAGTTCTGGAAAAGAGGTAAGGGAAAAAAGAGGTAAAGAAGATGGTTGGAGCTATAGTGTTGAAAAAGATTGTGAGGTAAAAGAGGGGGTGGATAGTGGGAGTAAATCGCCATTGTTGCATAAGGTTAAACTAGAAAACATGATAGTGAATAGTGAAGAGAAGAAGAGAACAGAGAGAGTTGGGAATTCAGGTTACTTAGTTTTATTTGTAATTGCACTTGTTGGGCTTGTAGTGGGTCGTTTACCAGCACTGATACTTACAATGACATGGTGTTTCGTACTAAAGATAGTTACAATACGAGGAAGATCGAAGGCGTCTTTGATCACATGTTTGGTTCCAAATTCTTGATGGAGCGTGGTGATGGTCTTTGGTGAATCAAGTTTTCCATACTCAATTTCATTATTGTTTCTTTCTTCATTTATTTTCATTTTAGTATCATGTAGTTCTATTGATGAATTTACATGAGTATATAATCTAAAAGCTCATACCACTTGATCAAATTTGTAAAGAGTCAATGATATTCTTAAACCAAATAATAATGAATAATATTAACCCAACCTTTTACACATTATTGATCAATTTTTTTAATTAATGTAATATGTTACTATTTATAGTTTCTATTCAAGTTCTGATCATTGTTTACAATTTTCGGATAAGTTTAAATCAGTATTTATGTTAAAGTATTTGTGAATAGTGAATATAATATAACTGTAACTAGTGTAAAAATAACATTGTTGTGATAGAAAAATGATATTTTTATACCAAACACATATATTATGTAACACTCTAAATTTGATTAAATTATTTAATTGAATTATTTAAATTTATTTTATTTAATTATTTTATTTGATGTGCGTTTAAATGAAAAATGAAATTATGTGATTATATGTGTTGGGGTGTATTGACAATAGTATGGTGTGGTGAGAATGTAGTAATTTTATAGAATAAATTAAAAAATAATTAGAATTTTAATTATTATTAGAAATAAAATGAGAAAAATGGGTGAAATAAGAGATTTGAGCCATTTGTGTGAATTGAGAAAAATATGTGGTAAGAGAAGAGAAGTTGAGAATAAGTTGGACAAAAATTATAATTTTGAGAAACAATTAAAAACCATATAAAATTTAAAAGTTAATTTTTACAATATGTGAAATAAGAGGCAAGATGAACAAGGAATTTTTGGAAGGAGAAAAGTTCCTCCAAATCACATTTTTTATGTCCCTCTAAATTAGAGGAATTTGGAGGGGAGAGAATATGAATTTTGATATTTAATAAAATATTATATTTATCAAAATATCCTCTGTTTTTATTTTAGTATATTAAAACTATTATTTTCTTTTGTGTTCTTACTTCTCTTATATGTGATTTCTCTTTATTACTTACATCAATTTATTATAATTATTATTTGCCTTCAAATTATTATTTTTTATTTTATATAAATTATAATCACTACAATTTTTTGTTTTCTTTTATAACTTTTATTTTTAAATTTATTTTTGTTATCACTCAATATCAAAAAATTATTTATGAATTTTTCATCTTTAAATATCATATCATTTATATCATAAGGATAAAAATGAAAATTATTAATAAAACTCTTCTCCTCCCCCTTGTGAACCAAATATATTTTTAATTAAAATCTCTCTTTCCCTCCGTTGAACTAAACATATATATAATATAAAAAAATCTCTCACCTCCCCTCCTCTTCCATTCTCTCCATTAAAATCCTTCTTCCTCCTCTTTTGAACCAAACACATACTAAAGTAAGGGGAGATAACTATTTCAATAATTGGTATACGCATGAGGGTTAGAATTGAGGAGTCCTTAACCTCCAATAGGACTTTGAGATTTTGATAAAATTCTGTTATAGATGATTGATTTGTTGTTTGTGATGTTGTTTGATGATTAAATTCTTGTACCATGATGTGTGACAATTTTCTATTTTGATTTGTTATCATATAATCACCATTGTTGTTACTTTGAAGGTTTAAGAATAACATGATTTTATGAAAATATGAATTAAAAGTGTTAGTTTGATGAAATTAGATGTTATTGATGAATAAATATGCAAACCATGATTAAATGAGTGAAATTGCATGTTATTTTGTATATAATATTAGATTTTTGAAATAAGTTGTTATAATATATTAGGGCATGTTTGGATGGGGTTTTATAAGGGATTTAGATGCCATAAATTGAGTATTTTTATCATGGGTTTTGTGGCAATCGATTACCAGCTTAAAAAATACGTTTTTTTTGTAGTTTTTAGGGTCAGTAATCGATTACCTCTTATTGGTAATCGATTACCGCATGATGGCTGAATTTTTTTTTAAAGTAAACTAAAAATGACATAACTTTTGTTCGGTAAGTCCAAATGATGTGTTATTAGAAGCATGGTTGTCGAGGAAGCAAAAACGAGTAAACTCACGCTTAAAATCGTTTTTTGATAGACTCGAGTATACTCGTGTAGACTCCTACAAACTCGCGAGTCTATGGCGAGTTTACGAGTCTATAAGTTTTTTTTTTAATTTTGTATTTTTTTAACCAAAAAAAGTCCCAAACTCCCCAAAATATTTTATTTTATTTTAAAAAATCATTTTTTTGCTTGTACTGAAATTAGAAAGCCTGTCTTCTAGTATATTGTTTCAGCAAAATTTCTTCCTCCCTTTATCGACAACGTACATTTGTCTCGTTTCTTGCTTTATTTGTGTTTGTTCCTGTAAATCAATCATTAATTGTGTAAGTATTTTCTTATATGTTTCACTTGGATGTTTCTCTTGTATATGAAGAAAATATGCAAGCTAAAGTTAATGTTGAGAAAGATGATGTTATTGTTAACAATGTTGTGGAAGTTGATGTTGTTGTTACTAATATTATGCAAAGTGACGATGGTGGTGGTGGTGACAATGTTGAATTAGGTGAAAGTGGAACATCACGCAATCTAATTTTGGTTAATAATGAAAAAGATGTTTCATATGGGGCAGAGTTTAATGATGATACTCAAGATATATCGATGACGATGATGGTGATAATGCTGGTGGTGATGATTTCACCGGAGCTTTAGATGTTTAAAGTCATTATCATATACGTCTTATGTTTTTTTTTTTGCTTTATGTAGTAACCAGTTAAGAAGAAATTAGGACTTTAAGTCCTTAACTACATACTTTGCTATTTTGTTTGTTTTATTATTAAGAAATTTGTTATGTAGTATGAAATTTAAATTTTGATGTTAATTGGTGTTCTATTAAATATATCTGTATCATGTATGAGACATTTACAAGTTTAAAACTATATGTGTATGTCATGTATGTGTCACATGCAAGTTTTTGAAAGTCGTTTAATTTTTCATAGACTCATACGAGTTTGCGAGTCAAGTCTATGGATCCTTTACGAGTCTGAGTAGACTCGTGATTTTGATAACCTTGGTTAGAAGTGTTAGAGAGTTGACGCATAAAGCTACGTAGTGGTGGTGGTTTGGAAAAATAGTTTGTTGTGTGACTGCATAATTATTACGTGAATGCATGTTGTGAATCTGCGAAGCAATTGATGAATGTTGGATATGTGCATAAGTGATCATGATGTTATGATAATTCCAGTGAATTGTGATGATGATATGATTATGTATGAGCATGATTGATGTTGTTGAATTATGAGTATGTTGTTATGGGATGATAGTTCGGGAGGGGAACTACTATCATTGGGTCAATGCATGTTTTGTTTATTATCAGAAGAGGAATTTAAACATTATGTTGTTGTTGCATTGGCGTGTTGTGACATGCATTCATTATGTCGCTGTTGCTGATGAAAGAGGCAAGTTACATTTCGAGCAGGATGGATTGACGACTTATCTCGAATCCAAGCATGGTGGATTTGGGGTTCGAGCAGGGTGATCCTGGTTCCTAAGTGAACCAATTGATGATGATATGGTACCACATGCATATAAGTCTAGTCGAAGTTGTGAGTCTTATTGTATAATTTAATTTAATGAGTATGTGATTGCATTGTGTATGATGATGAATTGGGTGTGAGAATGATTGTTTTGAGATTATTGATGAATGTGTAGATGTTTGAATTCTACCTTACAACTGATGATGTTAAATTATTGATGTGAATTCTCACCCCCCCCCCCCCCTTTGCTTTGATGTTGTCTACCATAGACATCTCGTAGATAATCAGGATTAACAGTTACTACTGTGAGTTGAAGATAGATTTTAAAGTTATTTCCATTTAGTTTCGTTGCTATTTAATGGCTATGCTCTGATCATGTATCATCGGGGCTAGGTTGCTTATTTTACTTGTTGAATCCAAATTAATGTTTTGAGGAGTTTTCATGACATTATTTTGATATTGAGGACAAACATGACTTTGTCGAGTATTTTAATTTGATTTTCTGCTGCTATTTGAATAAGTTGAGATGTTTTGAAGTTGGTAACACTTTAATCGGTGTATAATACATGTTATATAAGTTTTGGGGTTAGGGTGTTACAATAGTGGTATCAGAGCAAGTCGGTATGTCTGACTAGTTTTTTTATTGCTTGATGATTGTTCCCTAGTATGCAACATGCGTGTACACTTTCGATGCATTGTTTCGTCTAATGTCTGCTTGATGGTGTGAAAAGTGGCTGGAAAAAACTATCATGCAATTGCTGATGCCTTTGAGTCAGTAGCTCAGGCGCTACATGGACAGTAGAATCAGACTGGTGATGAGTTCTGTGGCTTGGGAAAATTTCAGAGAAATAATCCATCGATGTTCAAGGGTAAGTATGACCCAAAGGGTGCTTATGCATGGCTTAAAAAGATTGAAAATATCTTCAGAGTGATGACCTACACTGAATAGTAAAAAGTATTATTTGGTACTCACATGTTATCTGAGAAAGCTAAGGATTTGTGGGACAATGTACGCCAGAGACTAGAGGTTACTAGTATTGAGGTTACTTGGACAATGTTTAGAATGCAATTTTTGGAGAAGTATTTCTTTAAGGATGTGCGTAGAAATAAGGAGATTGAATTCCTTGAGTTGAAGCAAGAAAATTTGACGGTTGCAGAGTATGCTGCAGAGTTTGAGGAGCTGGTGAAATTGTGTCCGCATTATAATAGTGTTATTGCCGAGGGTTCTAAGTGTATCAAGTTTGAGAGAAGACTACGTCCTGAGATCAAGCACGTTATCAGTTATCAAAAGATGCATTGCTTTTTTTGTACTGACAAAGGGAAACAAAAAGCTGCAGTTGAGAAGAAGCCAAATGGGGGAGGAGATCCTGTTTTGTTTCAGTGTTATAGGTGTGGTGTGATAGGGAATCGTGCCAATGAGTGCTACAATGTTGAGATTAGGTGTTACAAGTGTGGTAAGA